GCTCTTCACGCGGAGAGCCTCACACTTCTTACTCATAACCACAGAAAACCCCCCCCCTCCCACTAAAATAAAGAAAAAAATTTAAAAAAGCTCTTTGGAAGTTTTTGGAAATATCTTTACTGACGAAGCCATCCTTGTGTTTTCAGCTGTAAAAACCCAACAGCCTCCAATTTATTTATTTTTTTAATAATACTCTTTGACGGTAGGATGGTTCATTCAATTTTGAAATCCTTAGAAGGTTGGCAACCCTGCAAATTAAACCTCTGGGCTGGAACAGAAGGTCACACCTGAACTGCTTGCGAAGTGTTGCCAGCGGAAAGAACAAAAGCAGAAGCATGAAAGGGGGGAAAAAAAAAAAAAAAAAAAAGGAAGAAGGAAAAAAAAGAAAAAAAAAAGAGCACAGACAGCCTAAAGCTGCACTCAGCACTGGCAGAGCCACGCAGGGTCTCGGAGAAAACACGGTTTCATTAAATCTGTGATAGAAATCAATCCGTACCCGGCTTCTGGCACGGCAGAGGCGGAGGGAGAGCAGAACCCCCCCGGCCCAGGAACACCTACTTACCAGCGCCGGGATGAGCAGGTCGGCGAAGTACACGAAAGCTGCTCCCAGGGCAAAGCCCACGGCCACCGGGAAGAACGCGAAGGCTCCGAAGCTGCCGGATTCCTCTGCCATGTCGATAGCCGGGGCCAGGAGGGACCAGTAGGAAGCGGCCAGCATGACCTGGGAGACAAAAGGGGAGTGGTGAGAACCACGTAGGCACCGGTGCCACGAGGATCCCACACCAGCCATGGCACAGCAGCACCGCCGGCACCTCCGCCAGCAGCCCACCCTCCCGCCAAGGAAATCCCTGTACCCGGCCCCATGAGCTGCGTGACCATCACAACCCAGCAGAGCCACCAAAACCCACTTCCCGACGGAACGAATCACCCAAGGATGGAGCGGTGAGGGTTCTTCCCCCCTCAATTTTCACCAAGAGTGTTTTTCTTGCCTCAAAAGTCTAAAGCAGCAAACGAACCACACAAGGTGATTTGCTGTTGGATTAGCACAGCCACAACAGCAGCACAGGAGCAGGAAAACCACCCTCCCCTCGAGTGTTCTGCAGCAACAGGAGTGGGTCCGAGACCTCACCGGCCACCGCACTCCTCCTCTGCATCCCAGCCGAAGCCGGGATGAACCGCATCCACCCCGCACCCGGCCCTGGGCTCCTCCGCGGAGGCAGCCTTGACCTCCTGCAGGGAAAGAATAAATATTGGATAACGCCTGGAGCCAAAGAGCCATCTCCAGGCTAAGCGGTGGGCACGCCACGGCTTTGCGACGCGGATTTCAGCCCGCTGCAGCTGAGGTGCCGATGTCCCTGCCTCGCTACCCCAGACCAAGGCCACCGCAGCGCCGGGGCTGTGCGGCGCCTCCGCTTCTGCGGAGACCAACGCTCGGGCTGCTCCTGCCCCAGCGACCCAGCCAGAGCCCCCGAGATGGCAGGAGAACAAGTTCCCATCATGAACAGCAACACTCCAGCTCCCAGCAAAGACCAGCACTGCCAGAGTCCTACTGGGGCACAGTTTGCACCAGGAAAATAAACCTTTCAAGTGTCAGAGTGCTTTTTTTCCTTGCTTGCTGCATAGCAGGGAGGCAGAAGAAACAACTACCCAAAAGACCATAGAAAAAAAAAAAAAAAAAAAACAACCAACCCACAATTTGGGGGGTTGCGGAGGTCTCCAGTCCAGCCCAGCTCAGAGCAGGGCAGGCTTCAGAGCGGGTTGCTCAGGGTGTCACCCAGTGCAGGGAACAGAAAGCCACGCGAGGCACCAGTTTCACAAGCTTACACCAAAGAACATAATATTACCGTGTGTTTTATCCCCTTATCTCTTCCTCGCCTCCGCTGCACGATGTACTAGGCTGGGTTAATTGAAAAGTCATCAGCCCAGCGGAACGCCCTGAACGACAGCCTTGGCCCTGGTTCCTCTCCCCACAGCTCCGTGGGAGCTCAGCTGTGACCAGCGCTGGGGACCGGTCCCATCACACACCGGGAAGAAGCAAGTTAGTGAGAAAAGCATGGATGGGCTTAAAATAAATAAATAAATATATATATATATAAAATCACAGTGGGGATCTGTGTCAGGCTTTGGGAACTGCCGTGTAGCATCGAGGGTGAAGAAGTGCAGGGTCTGCATCACCTTGGGGTGGACAAGGCGATGCTCCGAGCCCTCTCCCAGCGCTGCCGGTCAGCATGGAAACACATCAAAGGGGACCTTCCACTGGAGAAAGGGGTGCGGGATCAGGATGGAGCAGGAAGGAGCAGAGCGAGCCCGGAGACGGCAGCGGGAGGGATGCTGCCAGGAAAGGTGAGCCCACCTCTCCGTCCAGCAGCGTCCCCGAGCACCCCACAACGTCCCCTTTGCAGGATGCTCGGAAGAGATGCCGCTCAGCTTGCTCGCACCGCACGAGTATTTGCCCGCAGAAGAGGAGTGAGTAACAAACTATTACATTTTAAATTACTTCTAACGAAGGAACGAGATGCCTATTGCTGTAGACACCGGTCCCTGAGGGATTGTGTAAACCTCAGCTCGCTATGAGTAAGAAGAAAGCAGGCTGTCATGTCAGGCTTAACCACGGCTGTCAAACTTCATATTTCAAATGCCACCTCCTTTAAAAAACAACCACACACCCCAACATGGAAACACAAGCAACAGGGAAAGGCTTTGCAGAATTATATTGTCATCTTACGTTAAGATATCATTTCCCCACGGAAAACAGAGGCCTGACACTGCTCAGCCTCCAGATCCCGTCACCACCGGAGTCAGCAGAGCTCCCACCGGCTCCGCTGTACGCGGGCTCCAGGGGAAGGAGGCGACAGAGCCTAAAGCCACCCCAGCCGAAGGAGCAAACCGCGGGGCTGCACCAACCGCCTTCACTCGCTTGGGAAGGAAAAGCCATTTATTTCTACACCCTTTGATGCAGAGAAACCCCTCGATCCCACTTGGTGGGGGAGCTGGAAGTCATTGCTCTGCAGCAGCCAGCAGAAGTGACGAAGTCCCCGTGCCTCCCCTCAGCCTGTCTCTGAGCTCAGGTGGGGGTTCGGGGACACGGGTTTGCCTGGGAGCCACCAAGGTCCTGCTCCAGGGTGCAACTCCTGCCTGCGCCGTTCAGCGCCAGAGCTGGCGCTCAATCCTCT